CTTTTAAGAATATTTTTCTTCAGACAACTTTTCCAAAAGCCAGACATGTGGACCAGAAATTGGTGTGTCGTTCCATGAATTATTTTGCTTGAAATTATCAGGGAACAGGCCTACTCTAAATTGGAATGGCATAGGGCACCGAATTAGTTACATCCCAGAACAACAAAAACAGACATACAATATAGTCTCTACAGAAACAATTTATAGATGGCTACAACACCTGCTGCCCTAAAATGGTTAGATTAGCTCAGGGTATACATTTTATTTTAAATAAATAAATAAACAACATTGCCAGTATAAGTAAGACTCAATGTCAGATAGCATTTATTTTCCAACCACTGCAGAATTCTGATATTCTGTGAATTGATTAATTTAGGGAGGAATATTAGGGTTGGTTTGCTGTGAGTTTTCCAGGCTCTATGGCCATGTTCCAGAAGCATTCCCTCCTGACGTTTTGCCCACATCTATGGGAGGCATCCTCAGAGGTTATGGAGTCTGTCAATCTGGACACAGCGTATTATTTGAAAACACAGAAATGCTGGACCACTCTAACAACTACTATTCACACTACACAGAAAAGCCATTGAAACCCACAAGCAGGTGGACAATTTCAAAAAGGAGGAAACTATGAACAGGAACAAAAAATCAGGACAGTAAATGAAGAACAACTCTAAAAAACGGGAATTCCAAACATGAAATAATCAGGGCCAGCTAAAACCTCCCAACAAAGGATCCCACCAGGCAGCAATCAGCCAAGCTTTGAAGCTACAAGGCCCATCAAGCAGACAAGAGTTCTTTTTCCCACCCTGAACATTCCACAGATATATAAACCCCACTTGCCTACAGACCTCACAACCCCTGAGGATGCCTGTCATAGATATGGGCAAAATGCCATGAGAGAATGCTTTTGGAATATGGCCATACAGCCCGGAAAACACACAGCAACCCAGTGATTCCAGCCATGAAAGCCTTTGACAACACAATATTAGGGTTAGTACTTGGATGGGAGACCAGCGAATGTTAGGTACTTCAGGCTATATTTCAGAAACTGGCCAAACCATTTCTTAGTACTCCTCACATTAAAAAAGCCTTATGAACAATGTATGGGGATGCTATATGTCAACAGGTGGCTTGAAGGCACAGACACAAACACATTAAGGGAATATTTTCTTTCTAAACCACTGGATTTTCAAAAGAACCGACACACAGTAGATCAGTATCTTCTGAAAGATCTTTTGGTGATTTCTAAAGGATTGGCAGGCTTTCCAGACTGTTTAATATCTACAACAAAAATACTACTATATACACTCATGTGGGACAGCTGTATCCAAAAGTGAATTTTTGTGTGAAAGATTTGAGTTCTGACTGAGTATAGAAGTTCTCTAAAAATTATTTTAATTTGTGCAACTTTTCTTCTACTAAAAGAAGAGAAATGCTAATCTCTGGCCACTCCATATCTGTATTAAAGATTCATCTCCCAGCAACACAAATCACTATATTTCTAGCATGCAGTCCACTCTACCCACATGTGGATGGCATGACAGTAGTGAAGTCTGCATATTCAAATGACTGATATTAAAATCCCATGTGCACAAAATGCTGGGAAACCAAAAAGCACACATTATTGTCGTTGTCGTCATCATGTGCCTTGAAATTGTTTCTCACTTATGGCAAATCTATCATTGAGTTTGCTCAGCAAAGATTTGTACAGAGAGGGTTTCCTCTGAAGCAGAGAGAGTGTGCTTTAGCTTTTGTTGTTACTGTGTGTCTTCAAGTCATTTCCAACTTCTGGTGACCCTAAGGCAAACCCATCATGGGATTTTTGTAGATCCAAAGTCACTCTTTGGTTTCTGTGGCCTAACAGGCAATGACTCTGGTCTCCAGAGTTGTAGTCCAACATTCAAGCTATTACACCACACTGACTCAATACACATGCACACTTCACAATATATGGTAATCTCCGCATATGCATATGAATTCATAGAATCATACTTAGAAGAGACCTCATGAGCTATTCAGTCCAACCCCATGCCAAGAAGAAGGAAAACTGCATTCAAAGCACTCCTGATAGATGGCCATCCAGCCTCTGCTTAAAGCCTTCAAAGAAGGAGCCTCCACCACAACCTGGGGCAGAGAGTTCCACTGCTGAACAGCTTTCACAGTCAGGAAGTTCTTCCTAATGTTCAGGTGGAATCTCCTTTCCTGTAGTTTGAAACTATTGTTCCGTGTCCTAGTCCCCAGGGAAGCAGAAAACAAGCTTGCTCCCTCCTCCCTATGACTTCCCTTCACATATATGGCCCTCATCATGTCTCCTCTCAGCCTTCTCTTCTTCAGGCTACACATGCCCAAAAACCAAAACAACACACATAATTGTCATATGTGATAGCTACCCATGTGAATTTTTTGTATGCTGTTTCCTACATGACAGTTCCTTCCACAAGAACAAACAGATCTCTATAAAACAGCCCTCTGATCTCTTTTCTGGGCGGTCTATACATTCTTTGCACATACACTGTAACTCTTGGATCAGACAAGCCTATTTCTAGATTCCAGCAGGGATATCCAACTTAAAAAAAAAACACACAGAGAGAGTTGGAAAACTTCATATTAAAGCAACCAGTCTTCTGCAAATCCAACCATTACAGCGCCCTTTGGAGTCCTCAGGAATGATCCACCCAGTTCTGTCTGGAGTAACTTTGAGACATGTTTTCATTTTCAAAACAAAACAAAAAGAGGGAGGTAGAGGCAGACACGTCCTGGGAGAACTGAAGGGAATGCTTCTCCCTTAAAATACAGACACCCCGCCTTCCCTCTGCAAGGGGCAATACAGGCAGTGAAGGGAAGTTGGGTCCCTTCCGGGCCTTTTTGGATGTCGCTAAAAGCAGAACTGCGCACTTGGCACTTTTTGCAAACGTCGTTGGAAGCCTGACGCAGCTCTGGGACACCTTCGTCCCAAAGAGAGAGAAAAGGACTGAAAGAGAGGAGAAAGGAAAGAAGGAGGGAGAGGGGAAGAGAGAGTGTGTGAAAGAGGAAGAGAGAGAGAAGGAAGGAAAGGGGGAGTGGAAAAGTGACAGAGAGGAAGAAAGGGGGAGAGACAGAGAAAAGGAAGAGAGGGAAAGAGAGGAGGAAAAAGAGGACTGGGAAAATGACAGAGAGGGAGGGAGGAAACGAGGAAATGGAAAAGTGACAGAGAAAGAGGGGAAGAGGGAAAAGACAGACAGGGGAAAGAGAGAAGGAAAGGGGGAAGTGGGAAAGTGACAGAGAGAGGAATAGAAGGGGGGAAGACAGAAAGGAAGAGAGAGAAGGAAAGGAGGAAGTGGGAAAGTGACAGAGAGAGGAAGAGAGGGGTGAAAGAGACAGAAAAGAAGAGAGAGAAGGAAAGGGGGAGTGGGAAAGTGACAGAGAGAGGAAGAGAGGGGTGAAAGAGACAGAAAAGAAGAGAGAGAAGGAAAGGGGGAAGTGGGAAAGTGAGAGAGAGAGGAAGAGAGGGGCGAAAGAGGGAAAGATGCCACAAGAATGTGGTGTATATTATTGTTGTTGTATACTGCTTATTTTATGATGCTTTATATGGGTTGTTGTTTACATGATTTTAATATATTGCAAGCTGCTTTGCGTCCCATGAGGGAGAAAAGCAGGATATAAATATATTATATTATATTAGCTGTCCCCTGCCACGCATTGCTGTGGCCCAGTCTGTGTATATGTATTTTGTGTGTGTATATGTGTGTATATATATTTGTGTATATGTGTGGTTGCATATGGGGGGTTGCACATGTGTTGTAATGTAATTTTTTTTTGCTTTTTAAGTATCTTCTGCTGTGTTTTCCAGTGTTTTTTATGTGTGATGGTCACTTGTTGGCCTGATAGGTGTATTGTGTCCAAATTTGGTGTCAATTCGTCCAGTGGTTTTTGAGTTATGTTAATCCCACAAACGAACATGACATTTTTATTTATATAGATTGACACAGAGAAAAGAAGAGAGGGAAAGAGAGAAGGAAAAGGAGGAGTGGGAAAATGAAAGAGGGAGGGAAAGAGAGAGAGAAGGAATGGGAGAAGTAGGAAAGTGACAGCGAGGAAGAGAGGGGAAAGAGACAGAAAAGTAGAGAGGGAAAGAGGCAAGGAAAAGGAGGGGTGAGAAAATGACAGGGAAAGAGAGAAAGGAGGAAAGGGGAAGTGGGAAAGTAACAGAGAGAGGAAGAGAGGGAGAAGAGACAGAAAAGTAGAGAGGGGAAGAGAGAAGGAAAAGGAGGGGTGGGAAAATGAAAGAGAGGGAGTGGGGGAGAAAGAAGGAAAGGGGAAGTGGGAAAGTGACAGAGAGAGGAAGAGAGGGGGAAGAGACAGAAAAGTAGAGAGGGGAAGAGAGAAGGAAAAGGAGGAGTAGGAAACGACAGAGAGAGAGGAAAAGAGAGAGGAGAAGGAAAGGGAGAAGTAGGAAAGTGGCAGAGAGGAATTGAGAGAGGAGAGGGAGTGATAGAAAGAGAGAAAGGCAGAAAGAGTGAGAGAGAGAAGGAGAGAAAGTCTGGTGGAGGGAAAGAGAGAGTGACTCCCAGAAGAGGACAGAAAGTGAGGAGAGACTTAAAATCGGGGTGAGGAGAGGAGGGGGGTTCCAACTGCCTGAGAAAAGTGGAGAGAAACCAGGAAAGAGAGAGAGTGAAGACGCCAGACAAAGATTGAGAGACAGGGCTGAGGAGGAGAACCGCACTCGCACATATCCAGGAAGGCGGCTCTCCGAGGAGCCGAAAGGAGGGCTCAAATAGTGGGAGGGGGGGGGTTAGAAAAACGGAAATAGCAAACCAACTGCCTGAGAAAAGTGGAGAGAAACCAGGAAAGAGAGAGAGTGAAGACGCCAGACAAAGATTGAGAGACAGGGCTGAGGAGGAGAACCGCACTCGCACATATCCAGGAAGGCGGCTCTCCGAGGAGCCGAAAGGAGGGCTCAAATAGTGGGAGGGGGGAGGTTAGAAAAGGAGGGGGGGGGGTGCCTGCCTGGCGACACTTACGTAGCGCTTTAACTTCTTCTCCGGCGGCGACTTGCGGAGCCACCCCGAGCAGACCACCTCCCCGCCGCTCATGGCTGCGCCCGCGGCGAAAGTCGGGCTCCTCCGTTGAGCAGACCCAGGCGGATTCCTTCTCCCTCTTTCTGTGTGTGTGTGTCTCTCTCTCTCTGTGGGCCGAGGAGGAGGAGGAGAGGACAACAACCCAGGGAAAAGAAAACACACTCGGGCGCCCGCCCTCTTCTCCAGCGGTGCCTCTGGGGGAAGGGAAGGAGGGAGGAGACGGCCGGGAAAGAGAGCGAGCCAGAGAAAGAGGGAGGGACGGAGGGAAGAGGGAGGGAAGAGGGAGGGAGGGAAGGAGAACAGGGAGGCGTGGAGGGAGATCTCTCTCTCTCTCTCTCTCTCTCTATTTCAAAGCAGAGCCAGGTCGGGCGAGAGGAGGCACCCTTCCTGCCCAGTTCTTCTTCTCCTCCAGAGAGGGAGGAGCAGGGCAACTTTGAGCTACTCCAATCCAGCTGCTTCCAGCCGAGAGAGAGAAAGAGAGCAGCCTCCTCCTCCTCCTCCTCCTCCTCCTCCTCCTCCCTTCAAGGCGAGCCTCGGGGTCATTGCAGCTCCTTCCTCCACGGCTCTTACTTTTACTCCGGAGGGAAGGAAGGAAGGAGGAAGGGAAAGAGGAGGGAAGGAGGAGGTGGCTTCCTTCTCCTCACCGCTCCGCCTCGCAGGCCGACAGGCCTCGCAGCTGGAATGAGCGATGGAAGGAGTGTAGAAGCCATAATATAGAATTAATGCAGTTTGACACCACTTCAGCTTCTGCGGCTCAGAGCTACGGAATCCTGAGAGTGAGGACCTCTGAGGACGCCTGTCAGGAGAGAATGCTTCTGGAACCTGGCCCATACAGCCCGGAAAACTCACAGCAACCTAACTCCCAGGAGCATTCCAGAGCACTGAGCCTTTGCTCCCAAAGTGGTGTCAAGTTGCTTCCATTCTGCAGGGTAGATCCACCCCCAAAGCGGTGCTAGTCGGAGTCTCCACCGGGTGAGGCGCTGTCCACTATCGGGCCGCGTCTACACTGCTTGTTGAACTCAGTTTCAAACCGGTATTGAAGAAAGTGGCTTTGCAGCGCAGATGGTGCCATAGGGTGCATCTCTACACCAGGCATGGGCCAACTTGGGCCTTCCAGGTGCTTTGGACTTCAACTCCCACCATTCCTAACAACCTCGGGCCCTGTCCCACATCTACACCAGGCATGGGCCAACTTGGGCCCTCCAGGTGTTTTGGACTCCAACTCCCACCATTCCTAACAGCCTCAGGCCCTTTCCCACATCTGCTACACCAGGCACGGGCCAACTTTGACTTTCCAGGTGTTTTGGACTCCAACTCCCACCATTCCTAACAGCCTCAGGCCCTTTCCCACATATTCTACACCAGGCATGGGCCAACTTGGGCCCTCCATGTTTTTTGGACTCCAACTCCCACCATTTCTAACAGCCTCAGGCCCTTTCCCACATCTTCTACACCAGGCATGGGCCAACTTGGGCCCTCCAGGTATTTTGGACTCCAACCCCCAGCATTCCTACCAGCCTCAGGCCCTTTCCCACATCTGAAGGCAGCTGAGGGGGGAAAGGAATGGGCCTGAGGCTGTTAGGAATGGTGGGAGTTGGAGTCCAAAACACCTGGAGGACCCCACGTTGGCCCATGCATGGTGTAGTTGATGCATCCATGAGAGGCCCGGATGGTAACTACACAAACCATGTGGCCCTGAGGCGCATTGAGGGCTTGCTTTTGCTGAAGTTTGTTGCCTGGCCCAGAGCTTCCAACTGCATTGAGTGGTCAGAGTAGAATTAGCCTCCCTCTCTTTTCCCCTGTCTTTGGCTTCTCTATTTTGTCCAGTTTTGGCCCTCAGAAGCGAACCCTCCCGTCTTCAACAAGGGAAGGCGCGAAGTTAAAACGATCTAGACGGGGAATGTGGAGCCGCCATCGCCCTTTTCAGCCTGGAAAAGTCAATAAGCCTGGAATCGTTTCTGATTCGCTTGGAAAAGTCAATAGCACTGAGTTTTCCTGCCAATCTTGCGAGGAGCGCTCCAAGGTTCACGGAGAGCTCGCGAGAGCCGGTTTGGGACGAAGAAAAGCCCCAGGGCTGGCAGGGGAGGAAGAGGAGCCTCTTTTGCCCTCCTCTCTCCTTCCTGGGCTGGGCCTGGAAAGGAAGGTCCTCTGCCAAGGAAGAGAGGCAGGCAGGCGGTCCACAGTCCAACGTCTCCACTAGATTCTGGAGTTCACATGTAATGGACTCGCCCATCGTGCTCATCTCACGAGTTATGAAAACCCTAAAGTAGTGTTTCTCAACCTTCCTAATGACTTGGCCCCTTAATACAGATCCTCATGTGATGGTGACCCCCAACCATAACATTATTTTTATTGCTACTTCATAACTGTAATTTTGCTACTGTTATGTAATGTCAATATCTGATATGCAGGATGTGTTTTCATTCACTGGACCAAATTTGCCACAAATAATAATAATGGAAACATTGTGAGGTAGGCCTTCTCAGAGCTGGAGAAGGGAAAAGGTGGGCAGTGGTCCCAATGACACACGGCAATGCCAGGTATATACACTAGTCTTTTTCAAAATCTGAATGCTACAGATTTTTGGCCTGGGGTCCAAGACATACACTCTTCTGGACATCTCAAGCATCAGAACTAAACACGAGAAAGAAGCACCAGAGAGTCCTTGAAGCATATGAGCTTCTCTCTCCTTTATTGAAGTACACAAATACCTGGTCAATCTAAAAGTTTCACTTACACCACAATATGGGTGAAGTTTTCTATAATTAAGTTGCAATTATAAAGTATTTCTAGTTTGGAGGGCTGGATAGATTATTGGTAGATTCAGCCATGCATGGCTTGAAAATATTTCCTCCTAAAAAATCCAAAAGGAAGACCTTGAGTTTGCTATTTCATACAAGGGACACCACTTTACTATGCCATCTATATGTCAATGTCAAAATATGCATGTTGTCTGTCTGTAGCATAAAGGCTGTCGCTAGGTGAAATGGACTAAACCCAAACTGATATCAAGAACACACCATAATTGGAAATAACTATTTCTAACTAATTATTTCATCTGATTATGCCCATTTTAGATGTCTTAAAATGAGGATATGAAACAGATTTCCAAGCAACCCAAGTGCCTCTAATAACCCATTCCACTGTGCAAGGTTTGATATATAAACAAATCAACACATCCTCAAGAAGTCTCTTGAAAAGGACAAGGCAGAGCAACCATGTTCAGAATGTAGTAAAGCCATTGTGAGTTACACTCCCTGTATTGGCTAAGTGATATATTCTCGGGTCTCTGTCACTGCAGAAGAACTGGTTCGTGAGTCACAAGTAGTGGGAGCCACAGCTTCCATAAAGTATAGCAAACTGAAACTGGGAGGCTGAGTAGCTGAAGAGAAGCAGATGGCTTTCCTCTTCTTTTCTTTCTTACAGGAATCCAAACCCTGAAGAAAGCCTATCTTGAGGATGGATCTTGGAGAACATTCGCCTAGGTCCTTCTCCATGTCTTTGAAATAGATATAATATAATGCAGCATAATAATATACATTATCCCGAAAGACAGAGCCCATGGTGAGGAATTGTGAGAGCCTAAGTTCAAAACATCTTGAGGACAAAGGATTCTTCACTTGTTTATCACAATTCAAGATTATTGACTATGAAAACAGATAAGGCAGACATCCCAATAACATCAACGAGAACAACATGTTTAACAGCATTTAAGAAGGTTACCTTTTGGGACTATAGCTCCCAGAATCCTGGATATTCTGAGAATATTAGTCCAAAATGTCAATGTACACAGCTCTGATGTTTACTTTTGCATTTCCTATTTGAGTAAACCAATTGAATCTATTGTATTTATACACGTGTTGACTCATAGATCAACTCAATCAAGAACTAGCCAAAGGAGCTGAATTCCGTTGACTAGTTCCAATTGATCTATTGAGTCAAAACATACATGTCCAAGGTTAGGAGGTAATATGTTTCTGCAAACCTAGGAGGCAAGTAGTTATTTTCTTGGGCCTTTCTTATGGGCTTAAGAAAGTACATTTTTTGTATAACAGGAAGCTAGCAAAAGCATCACCCTATTTTAACAAAGGCCTCTTTGTTAAAATTGAGTCCCAAGTGGCCCAGATTGGCCCCCAAAATGGTGGAAATGCCCACTATCTCTTACCCAAGTACCTGGACAAAGCCCTGTCACAGAGGTTTAATTGGGCTGCACCCAATTCCTCCTTGAAATAAGTCAGAAAGAGCATATTATTGCATAAAGTATGAAGGTTCCAGTGATTATTCAATTAAATAATTCACCTTTGCAAGTTCAATGTTACTATAAGAATTGTGCATAAGGCAAAAATAAAAAATGGAAAATATTTCATGTACTGTTAGTAACTATGTTGCTGATGGAAAGAAGGAAAGAGGCCAACCCCCAAAATTCTAGTGTTGCAGTTTCATGGACCACCTGCAAATCTACCACAAACCACAGTTAGGAACCTCTGCAGTGAGGCAAAGAAGAGTATCCACAAGACTCATGTGAGTCAAACATCTGCTCGTTTCAACCATCAGCAAATACCTGAGGCCTGCCTGCTCTAATGCAATGTTAATATTAATATCAACTGTTTTTCTTTCCTTTCAAGTTTAAAATTGTACATTCAAATGTGCACTCTTTGCTACTTTTGGACTGCTAGACGGGAAGAACTCTTCCCAGATTTTGGACACGATCTACGAGTTTAGCCACACACAAGAACAGTTGAACATTTCCAGGTGTCCTGGATCCCTCGAGGACTATCAAGACATTTAAAAAAATCTTGCAGCGTAACTCTTTTTTGAGCTAACTTCTTTAGGAGCCGACTTGAAATGCAAAACCATTTTGAATCTCCCTGTGGAGAGAAAAAGCGGGGTATAAATAAACATAAACGTACTAATAATAATACTAATACAATTTTTCACTGAACCATTTATTCCTCCCCCACACCCCCAAAACAGAAATCTATTAGTTAGATATTTTAACTAAAAGCTAACTTAAATGTTGAAAAAATATCAAGAACAATTATTTCAGTTGCTCAAATACCGTTCAACATGATGGGATTTGGTGCATACTAGACTAGACAATTATAGCTGTGTGATGACACTTTAGCTGCCATGATGCAAACCTGTGGATTTCTGGAATTTGTAGTTTGGTGACTTAGCTAACCCGGAGCAAAGAATTCTAGATGCAATAGAATTTCTAAGAAGAGCTCACATAATGACAAATGCCAAGATTTTATAGGACTGAGCAAGGTCATTAAAGTGTTATCAAAGAGGTACATGTG